ATCGAACTTAAGGTTAAAATTAAATAAAGCGTTAAGAAGTTGAGTTAACGATTTAATCTTCGAAGTAATCAATTCGATTATGAATTATATTAATTTGCAAATTAAAAAACTTTTTAATCATAGAACTTATTTTATTAATTTTTTCTTTTTTACTCGTAAACCGTAGTTTACGAGTGAACGGCATTACTATTAAGGCTTTCTTAGCAAACTTAAGAACGCTAGCTGATTCGGTGTGTTCTTTAATTAAGGTTCGAATATTTTTAATAAAGTTAGTTAAAAAAGACTTTTTTCGATTTATAGCTTCGATAGTCTTAGCATTTTAGTCGGTTTTAAAAGCGAATGCGGCGAAGTCGTCGAAAGCGGCATAAGAATTTAAGTCGAGTTCGTCGATTTTGCAATGCTTGATTATTTTATTTCGGATTCCGACGAGCAATTCGAGAAAGAACAAGCGGCTTTATTCGGTTTTACTTAAAAAGTGCATAGAAATAAGCTTTTCGGAGACTTAAGAGAAGGTGCGATAGTAGTTTTTCAAGTCGTTAACATCTCGTTCTTGCATAGCAAATTCCTGTAAAAAAGCGACCGAGTCTTTAATCTGCTAAGTATCGTTCTTACGAAATTCGGCTTTTAAGGCTTTGACGAAAGCAGCTTAATCTTTCTTAGCTTTTTATTCGAGCAAGCTTTTAATGACCTCTTTGCGAGGGTTATCGCAATAACGAAAGAGCTTGATAAACCGATCGTCTTTAAAAATACTAAAGTTATTACAAGTCTCTTCGTACTTTTCGATAAAGTCGGTAATATTAGCACTATTAAAACAAAGAGCTCTTAAAGCACTTAGTAATAGCATGCGAGTAGTTATAAAAGCGTAAAAGATAGCAAGGTCGATTATAACTAGCGCAAGGCTTAGTAAAAAGACAAGAAGAGCAAGAAGAAAAAGAGTAATATAAATCTTAAGACCGGTGTTTATTTTAAAAAGCATTTCCGAAGCAAGTGTTTTCGATAAAAGTAGCGGTAAAGGTTTAAATTAAAAGTTAAAGTAAGATAAAAATAATCCGAAGCTTATAAAAATACGATTAAGAGATTTAATAAATTTAAAAGATTCTAACGAAAAAAGAAGTGATTTTGCGCCGACTTCGATATTAAAAATCTTAAAAAGGTTTTCGGTATTTTAAAGATTAAATATATATGTATATTAAAAAAGATCGAATTGATAAAAGGTTTTTAAATTGTTTGATTTTGATTCGTAAACCGGGTTCACGAGTAAAATAAGCGATTTTCGTAAAGTATTCTCGATCCGAGATTAAAAAAAGTAGACCTTTTATAAAAGTAAACTAATAGTTAAAATCAAAATTATAAAAAACTTAAGAATCAATTGATTAGCTTCGCTAACAACTCCGGATCATGTCAATTGCTTTAATTTAAGATAAAAGCTAAGGTACGGAAAGATATTTTCATTAATAAGTGAAAATTCTTTCTTATTAATAATAAAAGAGAGTTTTTGTTAAAGAGCCGAAATATTGCACTTCGGCCATTTCGGCGTTTCGGTGTCCGAACTTATCGAGAATAAAGTTTTAATTATTTTAATATTATAATTATAGAGTGAAGCGCTAAATGATAAACGAAAATCAACTTGATTGCGAATCAAGCGATTGTAATAAGCTGTATAAAGACAAAGACTAAAAGTTTGAATCCTTGCGTAAGTCACTAATGTAAAAGCACTTAAAAAAATGTATTATACAAAAGCCTAGCTTTAAGGCTAGACCTTATAGTCTTACAAAAGAAGTGTCAGAAAAGGTGGGTAGAAAGCTCGTTGATTGTTTTAATTAAAAGATGTGTACCCTTTTATAGAAGATAGGTCCGTCTAGTATAGCCCTAGTGGCCATGGCAGGTACCCTATCAGGCAGGGTGTTTACACTAAAAAAAAAGTGATAAAACGGTCTATTAAAATAAAAGTAAAAGCAAGGCTTTTAAAAAAGCTTTAGCTTAAGACTATACTAGCCGCTATCTACCTTTACAATATAATATTGAAAGCGAAGAGCTTTATAAAAAGTCCGAATAAAGTGCTATAGCTTTAGTTCAAGCAATATTTTAAGTAATACGATTCGGCGATCTTTATATAAATCGACACCGACTTAAGATTAAATTATAACGGTTTGGTTGCGTATAGCGCTCGTACGTACTTAATAATTAAAGACCGAAAAGCTCTTCGCAATAAAAGAGCTTTTAAAGTTAAATCGAAAGAACATATAAGCTATTTAATTAAATATATAGCTTTTAATATATATAAAGTTTATGTTTTTATGCTTTATAAAGTGATTGTTATACGCAACGTAACGTTCGATAAAACTTAATTCTATTTTAAAAACGAAGAAAAATCGGTCGGCCAATCGATTAACGAAATCAAAAGCATCGTTATTAAATTAAAAGATATTAAAGACTTTAGTCAAACAAAAGACGCTTTGTCTAATATAAAGAACGTTGCAAATGATCGCTTAAAAAAAACGAATGCAACTAATATAAAAAGTGAACAGCCGTTAGACTTTATAAAAGTTGATTTAAAAAGATTTAATTAAAGCTTAAAAGATACGACTTTATTTAATCCGAGCGATGCACAAACGTTAAAAGCTTTAACTTTAATTAAAGACTTTATAAATACGTTTATATTAAAAGCAACTGCTTTACGAAACGATTTAATAAACTTTAACGATTCGAATTATACCGCTGACCGTCTCGCTAGCTCTTTAATTAAAAGCAAAAGCGAAAGTGCTTTAAGACTGCTAAAAGCAAAGAAGAGCATCGTAAACGAGCAAAAACTTAGCTTTAATAAAAAAGCGCGCAAATCATACTTTTAAGTTGTTATTTAAAGCTAAAGCTCGAAAAGCTAAGCTATAAGCCGACTAACGAAAGCTTTTACGTTAATAACCGGCGGAAATTCAAACCGAATAATTAAAAAAAAGCTTTTAAACCTTTTTAAAGCGAGCATTAATAATAAGAAATTAAACTATAAACACTTTAAACAAAATTCCGACTTTAATAAAAAGCACTCACTTATTAATAGCCGTATTAGAAAACGCGCGAAAATATACGTAAGTATTAATAAGCTTTTCTTAAACAATTCTTTCGCCGATTCGAACCGTTATTCGCGCGTTTTAGATTTTATATCGACTTTCTAAGCTAATAATGATCTCGTACGTAAAGATAATAAAAATTACGAAATATTATACGTTATTATAATAGCTGCTACTTCGTTTAAGCTGTTATTAAAACAGCTTAACTCGTAAAAACGAAAACATTTAAAACCTTTTACTTATTAAAAAGAGCTACAACGACACTTATACGGCAAGAAAGTTAAGGACGGAGCTTTTATAAAGCTAAATAATCTAGAAAAGAAGAATTGCTAAAAAGTGATTCTCGAAAGCGAAGCTAAGTTAAAACTTATACTTTTTAAATAAGTGTTTATATATAAGACTAGCTCGTTCGGAAAGATCGTAAAGTTTAGATCGAAGATTATAATTAAAAGCGATTTCTAAAACGAATCTATTATCTATTCAACTTACGCTATTACGTTAACAGCTAGATCGTTTAAAATAATAATAACTATAATAGCCGAATTTAATTTAAAAGTAAAACAATTCGACGTCGTTAACGCTTTTATTAACGCTATAAGACATACGAATAGCGTCTTAATTACGTGTTATCTCTTTAACGGTTTTAAGCAAAAAAGTATGCTCGTAAAGGTCGATAAAGCTTTATATAGACTTAAAAACTCGCTAGCTTTATAGTATTTCGACTTTATAAGTACACTCGACAAATTAAAGCTTATCTTACTCGGTAAAGAACCGTGTATTTTTACGAATCTAAACAAAACGATTTTTATAACGTTTTACGTAAACGATATTCAAATTATATATTATTACTTTAATCTTTTTAAAGCGCAAAAGATCATTAACGATCTTAATAAAGCGTATAAGATCGAAGCGATAAAAGATATTAAATAATTTTTTAATATAAAAGTCGCTCAAGACCGTTAGCGAAGAACGCTAACGCTTATGCACGACGCTTATATTAAAAAAATAGCTAAGAAATTCGAATTTACGGACGGACGCTGCTTAACAACTTTATTATTATTTTATAACTTAATTAAAAATAAAAGAATAGCTTCGCGGAAGCAAATAAAAGAGTATTAAAAGAAGGTTAAATCCGTGCTATATATAGCGATCATACTACGCTTAAATATAGCTTTTGCAGCCTTTTAACTTTTTTACTTTAACATCAATCTAAGCGCGGAGCACTTTCGAGCTGTAAACTAATGTTTACGATATTTATTTAACTCGCGCTTTAAAAATATTTAATACAACTAGTTTAGCAAATCAAAGCTAGTAATAGCTTTTAACGCTTTTTACGCCGATAACGAAAAGATAAAGCGATCTTTTTAAAAATACATTATGTTTTTATTCGAAAGTGCGATCTTTTAAAAAGCTTTAAAGCAAGATATAATCATTATATTATTTATTAAAGCGGAGCTTTTTAGCATGGCCTTTATAATGAAAAAGACTATAACGCTTTAACGTTTTTTCAAAAAGCTGCACTTTCGTTTTGCAGCGCTTTAAGTAGTTTATTATAATAATTAATAAATAATAAAGCTTATAGCTAATAAAAAAAAGCGTATCTTTACCAAGCTTCGCTACGTCGATATTTATAATATATAATTGCGCTAAAAGCATTTTAAAAAGAGCTTTTAAGTTTAATATCTCTTTATTAAAAAGATATACGCTAACGGTCTTACTAAAAACTTGACTCGACAGAAGTTTAAGAGCTTTATTAAGCTCTTAAATTTATAAGACGCTCGCGCGTCAATCGAAAAGCTTTAATAGCACGCATATGCTATTTATTTATTATATTTTTTTTTTTTTTTTATTTACACGTAATTTAAAAAAAAACATTAATTTAGTAATTATAATCGTTATTCTATCTTATCTTACACGCTTTTACTTTTCGTCTTTTTATAATAAAAGATCGATTAAAGCTTTTAGCAATCTCTTCACTTTAGCTCGGCGCTTCGCAAAAGTTATAATAACGGCGAGCGCCGTCGCGAAAGCGGTAAGCGCAACGACTAGCGCAAAAAGAGCGACGATAATAAGTGCGACGGAAGCGACGAAAGCTGCGAGAGCGACGAGAGCAACGAAAGCGACGAAAGCAACAAGAGCGGCAAGCGCAAGAGCTGCTATAGCAATAGATTAAAGCCTTTGCATAAAGTTTAAAAAGAAGTTTTAATTAAAAAAAGCTGCTTAAATTAAATTATTTCGGAAGTTAAAAAGTTTGATTTACGAAAAAGTAATATGCTTGAAGCGCTCCGAGTTACCGGACTACGGTTCGCTGCTATAAGACTATTCAATTTAACAAAGGCTACATTTAAATTAAAAGTCTTAAGAATAAAAGCAAAACTTGCAAAGCTATCGAGATTACTTTTAAAACCTTTACTTCTACTCGCTAGACCGCCCGGACTACTAGCAGCACTTCTTGAAAGAGCAGCATTTAAAGCGAGCTATTATCGCATAGCATTTCGGAGACTTCGGCGAACTTTTTATATAATACTATTATCTTTAACGCTTACGAAGTTATCGAAAGCGGTGTTAGCAGCGGCAAAAGCAACGGTGCAGTTATTATAACTACCTTTAGCATACCGAAGACAGCGAATAACGCTCGTATCGTAATTATAATAGTCTCTATTAAACTTCGATGTAATCTTATTATTAATGCACTTAATACACCTTAAAGCTTTAACGGTCGTTAGCATAAATAAGCGCTTAATAAAAAGGTTTAAAAGAAAGGGCGAAGCTTCGAAGGTAAAAGTGCGTAGTATAACCGCCGTAGCCGCCGTAGCTGCAATAGCAATAATAGTGTTGGTTATACAATAGGGTGCATACGTAAGACTTGATACGAATAGCAAGTGGTTGCATTCGTGGTGTTGTTAAGTCTGGGAGAAGAAGCTATTTTAGCTGCGAGGTGCAGTTATATATAGTTGAGTGCACGGGCTACTATATGGTTGCTATAGCAAAGGTGCACGTGCTAAGCACGGGCCACTTTTATCTTCGATCGAGTCTTTAACTCCGATCCTTTCATTCTTATACTCGCAATTTTCTTTTTTGCAATTGCAATAATTGCAATTGCAATTGCAATTCTAATACAAATAAAAATAGCTCTTTCATTCTTAACGTTGTCGATAAAAAATACTATCACCGTTCTTTTTAAATTCGGCTTGACTTTCTTATGCTTTCTCTACTCACCTTTCGACACGTACGTTGGCTTTATTCGTATTAATAAAGGTCGTTAACGACTTATTTAAGTTGATTTTCGTTATAAAGTCGGCTAAATTATCCTTTCCTTTAATCTATTTGACTTCTGCGAGCTCTCGGCGTTCGTATGATTGTTTAAGAGCTATAATATCGATCATTAAGCGCTTCTTTTTAATAGTTCCGAGCTTAATAAAGCATTCGTAGAGGGAATACGAGTCGGTATAGACGACTATAAAGACCTCGAGGACTTTCAGCTTGTTAATAATCATTTTAAAAGTAGTAGCTACGCAAATAGCAATATCTACACCGGAGACTATGCTATAGATTTCCGATGCAAGTACAAAGCGTATTACTCGCTTGCATTTTGTCGAACTAGCAGCGATAAGGTTCCTTTGAATAAGAAAAGAGCTGTTAAACTTTTTTTCGGTTGCTAAGATGATTAGAAAACTAATTTGTAAACTGCAGTTTTTATTATTAGCAAAACTCTTGTCTATAAATACGAATAGCTTCGTTGAACGTAAGTCGATATTAAAGTATATTAAGCTTCGTTGCTAGTTTTCTATTATCTATGCAATTCTTTTATTTAAAAAGGTGATGTCGTTTAAAATGAAGTCCTTTTGCTGAATTTGCGCGGCGGTAGATAAATCGAAAATAGCCTCGGGCTAATACAAGCTTGCAATATAAGTTGTACGTGCTCGCTGCTTTAAGTAGTTGTTTCTATTTTCGATGACTAGCTCTAGCTTCTTCTTTTAATCCTTTTGCTTAAGTAGAATCGAGCTATTAGCGAGCTTCTTTAGTGTTCCTCTATTGAATGTCACTTCGTTTTCTATTATAAGCGTCTCTTTTGGCTTAGCGTTAAAATCAGCCTTTTTAAGCTTTTGCTTTTCTAAGTCATTGAACTCTTTGTTAGCTATTATTAGCGTGTCGTCTGTTTGCATTCTAATGATAGCGAATTTGCTAGTTATAAAGATCAATAAACAAGGGTCGTATATAAAAGAGACTATAAATAGCTTATCTTTATAATGTTTATAATAAGTGTCCTACTAATAAGTACTTGCCTTCGCAATCTCGTATAAAAGTTTACGAATTAATAAAATATAGCCCGAAAGGTATAAGTGTTAAAGGTCTTTAAGCAAATACGTTAAGATCATACGCTCGAAATAACGCTGACTCGATACGTAAGCTTAAGTAATATCTCGCAAAGATACTATTGCTTAATTAAAAGATTCTAAGAATAGAGCTAAGGAAATCATTAAACGCTAGCTATTACGCTAAATAATCGAGGATTAAGTGAGAATATTATACTTGCCTTCGTCGCTTTAAGCTTAAATAATAAAGCGTGATTTTTCGTATAGTTCGAAAGTATTCTTGCTTTTAACTTTATCGACTATTCGAGAGTTGAATATGCGGCTTGTTCCGTAGACTGTAAAGTTGTATTTTACAACTTTAATTACCTCTTTTTCTATTAAGCCTTTTAGCTTTTAGAGGCGTGATTCTACGAATTGCTCGCCGAGTGTAATGATAACTTTTTCGTTTTTAAGCTTCGTAAAGAGCGCAATATTAGCCTTTTTTTTATAAGTAAAGAATACTATAATGATATCACTCTCGTGATTAAGAAACTGTTCGTTAAAATCTTTAAACTCTTTTATACTTGCAAAAAAGTGACGGGGGCTATAGCGAACTGTTAAACTGCTTTTTAGTTTGCGCGAGCGTGATTTAATCTTAGTAGCTAAAGTAGTAAGTTGTCTTGTAAGCTAGACCGGTGGTAGTTTAGCTTTAGTTGACCGGTTCGGTAGCAAAGATTCTTCGAGGTTTAGCGTATCTAAAGGTGTTTTATAATATAGTTTAACAACTATTAAACGGAATTCGCTAATTCGATCGTTTACGAGTACCTTGCAAATCTCGTTTTCACGTGCAATTAGCTTGTGCGGTCCGGTCTATTCGCTTTTGTTTAGTTTACCTTTTACTTCTTTATAGACTTTGACGTTTAATTGCAAAAGGAGGTTGAGGGTTTCTAAGGTATTTGGTCTATTTCGCATTACTAAAGCGTCTTTGACTTTTCTTTTAGCTTGTAGTCGACGAATCTCTTTAGTTGCAGCTCGAAAGGCTTTTCGTCTTTTTATTATAAACATTGCTAAAGAATCTGTCTTAAAAAGGCGTAGGTATACGCCGTATACGAGTAATGTAAGGATAATACCTCCGAGGCTAGCTGTATCGTTGATAGCTTTAAAAGCCATTTGGAGTACTATGTGCTTATCAACTCCTTCACTTGCTAGTTCTTTTTTTAAAATATTGTATATTCTTCGAAAAGGGCTATGGTAGCGCTTTACCTTTCCGACGCTATTATAAGCTTTTATTAAGACCACCTTAATCTTAGTATTCATCGAATTAGCTTGTTGTTTAAACTCTTAAGAACTCAAGTTAGTTCTAGCGTCGATTACGATTATATCTAAAAGGCTTAAGTATATATCGATCTAATAGTAACGTACTATATCTTATACGTGTTTTGCAATTATATTCTTAAAGAATCCTTTAGAACCGTAGCTTATAGTTAAGTCCACGATATATAATACGGAGTCCTCGTTAATATATATAATATCAATAATAATCGAATAGTTGAATTCATACTTATCTTTTAAAGAGATTTTGAATTTGCGAAAGGCTTGCTTATGTAATTGATATTGCGCATAGTATTTAGTAATCTTCTCGAAGATGTCGGCTTTAAACTCTTTACTTGCAGCTTTAAAGGTAATAGCAAAACGCTATATTAAAAGGTGTCCTTAGCGGCGATGAATTTAACGCAATTCTCTTTCGGTAAGGTAGCATATAATAGTTTCTTGCTAATTAAGCAATAAGAATAGGTGGCCTTATTTTCTAATAACTAGCACGCTATTATAGCCTTGCACAAGCAGGTTTCTTAGATTATTAAAATATACGCTAAGAGAATCCATGTCTTTTAAATAGATTAAAAAAAAAGTGTTAGTATTGATTATATGAAAAACAATCTTGCTAATTAGTGTTTGTACTTCTACGGTTCCTTTGATAATAGCCGGGGTTTCGCCGAAGCTAATAGTACTTCCTTAAGTAGTAATCACTTATAGTTTAAGTAAGTGGTACTAAAAAGCTTTTACTTATGCTTCTTTTGCAAAAGACTTACTTGCAGCTTTCGAATCGGGAAAGAACCTTTAAAATCGATAAGCTGAATACCAGGAGTGTAAAATATAAGTCTTTAATAGAACGGTCTTATCTTCTTTAATTAAAGGGTTTATAGCGTCTAAAGTAGTGAAAGCGTAGTAAGCTAAGCGTTCTTGTAAAATTGCAATAGTCTCGGCGCTTATCACTTCTTTAGCTTCGATAAGGAAGGTCTAAATGAAATAATTGCGGTCACCGTAGTCGTATTCGTCGTACTAATAGTTTTTAATAGCGTATATTATTTGATCTTAGTGATTTTCCTCGTCTGAAATACTTTCTACTCTTTCGTAGTCCGTTAAAAAGCTTGCAAAATAAGCTAAGGTCACTAGTTGAGTAGTATAGTATATAGCGCTTTTCTTATATTCGTCGTAAGAGCGTTTTCGCTTTTCGAAAGAGTGTTTTGTAAACTAGCAGTCGGGCTTGCCGCAGATAAAGCATACCTTAAGCTTTCTACTTTCGCGGAAGCTTTTATTCCTTCTTCCACGTATAAAACCTTTGTTCCCACCTTTGCCTCTATTACCGCGATTGTAGCCTCCTCTTAAACCACGGTTGTAGCTCTCACTTAATCCTTTATAATTTCGATCGGTGTAATAAGTTTCGTGATTGCAATTGCTATTGCAATTATGGTCGAGATAGCTTAAGGTATTATAGATAGTAAAAAGGGCTGTGTATTCGAGTACTTAGCGCTCTCTTTAAATAATGCTAATTGCTGATTTCAATTAAGCAGCAACTCCTTCGTATGTATTAGCTAGGTTGAACATTGCTAGTCTGCATTCTTCGATTTTATTGCAAGCGCTAATAAATTAATCGCGCAATACGTTATCGGTTTAGTATTCGAGTGTAAGGCCTTGTTAATAGCTCTTTAAAAGCTTCATCGTAATCTTTAAGCACTTTAGTCGAGTCTTCTCGATGTTCTCTTTGTCTGCAATAACACTAGCGAATGTAATAGTTCTTTACAAGCTCATGTAATGCTTTCGATTCTTATCGGTTTCGAAGTGTTAAGCCATAAGGTGTGTTATAGCTTCGAAAGTGTAGCTTCTGCTAGCTATTTGATCGATATAATAAGCGTCTGCTGCTCCGGTAAGCATGACAAAAAAAGCTTTAAAGTATAAAGCAAGAAAGATATCGTATATTTCGCATAAGCTATAGAACTTCTTTAGCTTTACGAAGAATATATCTTACATTCTTCTATTATATTTGAGCTCTTTCTTATGTCTATACATCTTACTAAGTCCGCTAATCAATTGCGTTAAGCTTAGTCTTTAGCCTCCTTTAGCTAATTGGTTAAAGTCTCTTCTATTACTACTTCCGCCTCCTTTTCTACCTTCTCTTTTATCTCCTCTTCCACTTCCTCCTCTACCTCTTCTTCTACCGCCTCCTCCACTTCCTTTGTAGTTATCTTTGCGGTAAGAGTCCTCCGTATAGTTGCTTCTATTATCATCACTTTCGCTTCTACTTCTATTTGCTCTTCGTCTTTAAGGTTCGCGGTATTCGAAGATGAGTAGTACGTAAAGTTGTTTATAAACTATTAAGTTAAGTAAAGGTCGAGATTGAATCGGTAGTAAAAGTTGTAGTCGAAGGTCAAAGGTGAACTCTTATTGTCTTTGCTGTTGATAAGGTTGCTTATCGAATAGTAGATCGAATTGTATATCATTCGAGGGTAAGGGTAAGGGTCGATACAATTAAGGGTGTATCGATAAGAAAGGTAGTCGTGTAAGTTGTATCGGTATAAGAGGTGTAAGAGATAGTAAAGGTTTAACGGCAGGTCTATATATTATTAAACTGAGTCGCTTTTCTCGTTTTGCCTTTTCGTAAGGTAGAAATACGAGAAATGTCGATCTGTAAAGTAGTTTAGCAAAGGCTAAAGCATAGCTTATACTACTTCTTAAATCTTTTATTTACACGTAATAAACGAAGAGGTAATTGTATAAGTATTCTAAGATTGTGATGTAACCTAGCTTAAACAATAATTTAATTTATCTTTCGAAGAAGCTTTAATATATCTCTTATAAATTATCACTTATAGCGTAGCGATAATCATCTTTAAATATATCGAGAGCTCGGATGATATACAAGTGAACGCAACTTTAAGTCTATTTAGTCTTGTCAATAAGGTCGAAATTATCAGCTTCTTATACCTCTCGATCGACTTTGAATTTGCCTCGGAGAGTCTATTCGAGTTCCTCGAAGCTACTTGCTAAAGGCCGAACAGATTTCTTTAAGAAAAAGAGAAGAAAGTCTTCGAATTCGTAAAAGAAAGGGTTTTTGTTTCTGTCATCCGCTATATTAGCGGCGGTGGTTGCGTAATAGAGTGGTTGCGTAATAAACGCTATAACTGATAATAGTACTGCTAATTGTATTAGGTTTCCGCTAGACTTATTAAGAACTAACGGTTGCTTATAGCGTAGTTAATACCTTTAAAAGAGTAAAAACTACTTTTTCTTTTCTATACTTAGCTCATCTATAGTTAAGTATGAATTTAACTACTGATCAGTGTTGGTTACATAATAAGGTGCATACGTAAGACTTGATACGAATAGCAAGTAGTTGCATTCGTAGTGTTGTTAAGTCTAAAGGAAGAAGCTATTCTAGCTGCGAAGTGCAGTTACATATAGTTAGGTGCACGGGCCACCATATGGTTGCTATAGCAAAAGTGCACGTGCCAAGCACGGGCCACCTTTATCCCCGATCGAGTCCTTAACTCCGATCCCTTTATTCCCACAAATAGCTAAAGCAAAAAAAGGATTCTCTTAATAATTAGCATAAATATATTAATCTATTAAAAGCACTTACTTTTAAACGGCCTCGGCCGCGCTTAACGATTTTACTAGACTAAGTTACTTGTTTAAAGAGCATTATATAAATAGATAAAAGTTAAGTGTTTATTATAATAGAAAAGAACGCGCTCTTATTTATATAGCAACGCAATAAAAACGGCGCTAAAGACTTCCGCTACGTAATAAAACCGACTTAAAAAGGAATTGCATTCTTAACTAATATTCAATTAATAATAACAACCGCTATTTGTTTGTTTAAACTGCGATAATAATCTTTTTTGTTTATATCGAGTTTAAAAAGCTTAATCACTTATTTTTTTTCTTTTTTATTTGCTTGCAGCTTAACAGCTACGCTGCTAACTTAAAAGGTGTATTATGCGAAACAAGCATAGTTCTACTTAAGCTACATATAACATATTAAGTAACTTCGCTTAATAGCGCTTTTAGTATACTAGAGCTCTTAAGTACATGTATATAGATCTTGACGAGCTTCTTAAATAAAAAAGACTAAGCTTTATTCAATCTATAGAATCTCTTCTTGATCTTAGTGCTGGTAAGCATTACAAGAAGTTAATACGATATATAAAAAAAAAGCGAAGAAAGTTAAACCGGTAGATTTAAAAATGTCGAATAAAAAGATACTTAAAAAAATCGACGATTGGTTTAAGCAAAATAAGAAAGCGAGACTTTTTAAATTTAAAAGACTTTTTTTAAAATACTTTATTAGCAAGTTTTCAAACTTAAAAGTTAAATTAAAATTAACGAAAGAACGATTCGAAGCACTTACGATTAACTTTTAAGTCATTCCGAAAAAAAGAAAGCTGCTTTACTAATACTTTTTAAATCGAAAAGAAGCGATAGCTTAAGATTTTACTTATTTTAACTAAGTTCGAAAAGAAGTTATACTACTTTAAAAGATCAAAACGGTGCTTTACGAAGCTTAATAAAAGAAAACGTTTATTATATCGAAAGCTTTATAAAAAATAATTATTTTTATGCTAAAAGAACGATTAAAGCAAAAGGTCTTCGAATTATATTAAAGCTTTTATCGGAACAAGTAGTTTATTATAATAAAGAAAAAGAAAAGAAAATACAAGCTAATCACTATTGTAATTAAGATGAACCGTGTAACGGTCAAAAACGCTAATATTACTTCGAACGTAAATTAGTTCTCGAACGAATTTACTAGTTTTATAATAGTTATACTTTTAGACTTCTTTTTTAAATATAATCAATTCTTTTTCGACGTTAAGTTTAAAAATATAATA